TGAGACAGTCTCTCTGACACCCATGCTGAGTGCAGTGGCACGAGCTCAGCTCACTGCAGCCTCGACCTCCCTGGCTCAAGCGGATCCTCTCGCCCCAGTCTCCTTAGCAGCTGGGATTACAGGCACCCACCACTGCGCCCGGCTAACTTTTGTATTTTTAGTAGAGAGGCGGGGTTCGTCATGTTTGCCAGGCTGGTCTCGAACTCCTGACCTCAGGTAATTCATCCGCCTTGGCCTCCCAAAGTGCTGAGATTCCAGGCGTGAGCCACTACGCCCGGCCAAACTTCCATTTTGAACGCGCCATGTACAATACTAATAGTTCTTGTCCATTCCATCTATCACAGGGCACTTTACATGCATTTCCATTTCATTACCTCCAAACAAACTGTGACAAAGGTGCGGTCATTACCCCCATTTCCGTTTTGGAAACTAAGCCAAAAAGAGATTTAGTGACTTTTCCAAAAATGGTAGAATTTGAAAAAAAGAAAAAAAAAAACAAAAAAACAAACAGGTAAAGCTTTTCTCTCGGCACAAAAATACTTTACTGTCCAAGCATTATTTTTTTCTCCCAACTCCTCCCCATGCAGTCCTCAGCATCCTGAGTTTGTGTCCCGATGGTCCAACCGTATTTTCTGGACACCACCCATATTACATCTGCGTTTAAGTAACGGGAGATGGGCCCACATCCTCCCCTTAGAAACTAACAGGACCTTGAGTGAGTGGGGCTGTGGCCAGGGCACGCGTCCTCAGTCCTTGTGCATAAAGGCAAAGAGGAAAAATTAGACGATGGTAGGGACGACCTATTAACGTCTGCTTTTCTCTCTGCTACATGGGAGGACAACAAACGCCCCTCCAACCTTTCGCTTGACTGCCGCTCATCACGCATTTCAGCATGGCTGCCAACCGTTCTAAAAACCAGGCTCGGAAGGCGCGCCTCAGCTCGACGACCCAGGTGCCCGGATACGGCCCGCGCTTTTCAAAGCTTCGCGATCTAGTCTTTCAACCGTACCACCCCGCCTCCACGAGTTCCCAAAGCGCAGGTTCGCTTTACGGCGGGGAAGAGCCCTTACGAGCCCCCGTACGTCAGTTTCTGTCGACCTCTGCTCTCATTGGTTGCGGGCGAAGTGGGCGGGTCGTCGAAGAGCCTGAGGAAGAGGGCGGCGGCGGTTGTGGTGACTGAGCGGAGCCTGGTGACAGGATGGTGAGGGTTGTAGCTGCGGCGACCGAGGCTTGGTCCTCAGCTGGAGTGCTGCGTTGTTGGGAGCTGCGGGTAGTCCCAGGGCGAGGGATTGGGAGATCCCGGAGGCCTCGGCGGCAGGGTCGAGGCGCTGGCCTGTGGAAGGCCCAGGAAGTGGGCTAGGGAAGGAAGGGAACGGTCACCTCTGGGTGCGGCCGGCCTAGGTCTCGTATGCCGGCCCCAAGGGGCCAGAGGCCATCCAAGGGGTAAAAAGGTCCCTCTTAGCTGCCCGACATGTCACGAGACCCGCACGCCGGAGCCAGGGAAGGCCTTTGGTCCCATACCTCGAGCATTCCGGGGATAGGGGCACCGTCCTCCTCCGTTTCCAGTGGTTTCCTACTCCTTTCCCGCAAAAAGTACCTCCCACTTGTTGGGGTGTAGTGGTTACCACCCACCATGTGGCAGAACCTGGCCTCTCGGATGCAGAACGGGAAGTAGCGAGCAGAATTCCATACCCGTTTAAGTTTGCCATGTAGGGAAAGGGAATAAACGACCCTCTTCGCCTCTGAAATAACATGCAGCTGCCATTGAAAGGAGCAGGTGTGCTCTCAGAGGGCGGGATTTGGCGCTTGCAATTGCTGGAACTACTTTCCACGGGTTGCTACACCCCTTTAGGGTAGGATTCCTTAATGATCTGTGAACTTGAAATTGTTGGGAAATTTTTGTGAATATACACATTTTTCTGGAGGGAGTGCCGGTGTTGACTTTCCTAGTCTCCCCTAGCCACCTTCAAGCAATCACCCTTTCACCCACAGTAGGTTGCTACCCCTCAGACCTTCCTACCTAAAAAGTTGGGGCCTCCACTAGAAAGGACTCATATTTGTAATCATCTTTTTTTTGAGATGGAGTCGCGCTCTGTCGTCCAGGCTGGAGTGCAGTGGTGCGATCTTGGCTCACTGCAACCTCCGCATCCCGTGTTCAAGCTCCAGCCCCTGCCTCAGCCTCCCGAGTACCTGAGATTACATGCACCCGCCACCACACCCGGCTAAATTTTTGTATTTTTAGTAGAGACGGGGTTTCACCATGTTGGTCGGGCTGGTCTCGAACTCCTGACTTCAGGTGATCTACCCACCTCCGCCTCCTGAAGTGCTGGGATTACAGGTGTGAGCCACCGTGCCCTGCCTGTAATCGTATTTTCAAAGGTGCCTTTGACTAAAAAGACAATTTCCATTTCAATTGTTGTATAAAATAAATGTAATCATATTTTCAAAGGTGCCTGTGACTCTAAAAGGCAATTTCCATTTCAGTTGTTGTATAAAATAAATGTAATCATATTTTCAAAGGTGCCTTTGACTCTTAAAAGGCAATTTCCATTTCAGTTATTTGAAATGGAGCTGTGATTATCTTGATATTTGTGTTGATGGAGGTTGGCTGTAGAGGGACGTTTATCTCTGATAAGCATTTATTGCATTCTTTTTTCTTTCTACAAGGAACCAAAGAAGCCATGCATTTTTAAGATTATTACTATTGCGTGACACACAGCCTTTTCAAGAGGAGACTTACAGATGTGGCAGCCAAAGATTATGGTGCATGCTTCTTTAAAATCTTTAATCTCACTTTTAATTTTTGCTTCTAAACAGACTCCAATTTAAAGTAATTCAGTTTACAGTAATTTTGAGACACCTATCCATGGGAGAAGACATAATTTTTTGCCATGATTTCAAAATATTAATGTTTCTCAAGTTTTGAGAGGTGAACCCTCTTATTTAGGGTAGTTGTACTGGTACATCATTTTTCATATGAAATAGAACTGGGAAAAAATGTAGCATTCGCCAATTCTTTTATGATTGAAAGCATTTTACTTGGCAAAGGATACAGATGTTCAACACTCAGTACAGTGTCCAGAGTGTGGGCAGCAAATTCAGGTGTGAGAAAGGTCCAGTTTTAACTAGATAAATGTGTTTGTTTTTATTATTTTGTCTTCACTTTTAGTTGATTTGTTCATCACTTGATAATGTATTCATGGTGCTGTGTTGCATCAGCTACAAAAAATCACCCAGCTGCAGCGTAATTTTCCGGCTACTAGAATTTTGAATGTATGATAATTAAAATCCATATACTTGAGGAATAATTAGACCCTAAGAATCCAGAAAATGTTAGCCTTTAAGCTATTACTGACAAATTTTCTGAAGTGTCTGTAGAAATCTAAATTCATTATTTTATAAAACCTTATAAAAATCTAAACAGAATGGAAAACAAAAGAGATGGAAGTCAATATACAGAACTAGATTAGGAAAAGTAGAAGAAATTGATAAGGCAAATTTATTAAAAAGTGTATGTGTGTCGTATTTAAAAATACAGCAAATGTTTCTTTTGGTATTGTTTTGAGCACAGCTAATTTTTAACATTTTCTTTCATAACACTCAGAAATCATTAACAATTGTTTACTCATTTGGAATGGGTTTTTTGTTCTTTTTTGTTTGTTTCTTTTCGTTGCTTTCTTTTAACATTGGTCGTGTTTCACCCTTTTTTTTTCATCCCCCCACCCCCACCCCGTCTGCAATCAACTTCTTCATTCCACTAAGGCTGGGCACAGAGTAAGTTTCTTCACTTAGCTCCTACTAACAATGGTGGTTGGGTGGCTGATTACTGACTGGATTTCTCACCCTTTTAAAGTCTGTTGAAAGCAAGCAACTGAATTTCCATGCTTTGATTGGGTTGGTTCTTTATTTGAATTTAATAAGACTGCCATTTCCAGGATCTTTTTTTTTTTTTTTTTTAGATGGAGTTTTGCTCTTTTT